GTTCAGTCAAACAGACACTGAGGGAATTGAACCTTCCACAGGGTTTAGGCCACGGCTTCATTAACACACAGAGACACAGACAGAGGTTTAAACTCGTGGTTCAGCCTGAGGTTCTTCTTCAGGGTCTAATCCTCTCCACTCTGTCCCAGCAGTCGGTCATTAATAAAACCAGGAACGACTGCAGTGGAATTCTTGGCACATACTTTAACATTTGTGAAGCCAACGCCTGGTTTGTGTCATGTTGTTGGTGAAACTTTGTCGTTGCTCAAGGACGGGAATCAAACCCTGCAATACATTTTATTTCTTTGAGTATCTCCGAGGGTACCTGAATGTCTCTCAGCTACAGTAGGTGTTGGTCTTCATTAGGGACACATACAGGTATACACACACACACACACCAGGACCCCCTCCATCCCTCTCATTACCCAGCATGCACGTGTTTCCTCATCTCACCAAATGCAGGTGGTCCCCCTCCAGCCAGTGAGTCCACCCTCGACCTTCCTTCTCTCCTCTCTGCACACACACCAGTCTGTCTCCGTCCCAACTCACCGTGGTCTGAGCGACGACCGGGATTAAAGACAGAAACGTTCAGAGTGATTAGTGTTTAGACACACACACACACACACACACACTTTTAACCGGTTCACGGTGCGTTCAAGTCCCGTCCCGTCATCCACCACCCGTCCATTATTCACCTGACAGATCCGTCCGTCCACCGGCCCCAGGTTTTCTTCAAATTCCTCTCCGATGACGAAGTCCATGTTGAAGTTCTTCAGCGTGGTGACGGTCCGGATCTTCATGGCCCCGGTGGCCGGGTCGTGGACAATCTCTTTGGTGGGTTTCAAGAAACAAACGATCTTCCTCAGGGCGATGTTGATGTCTGAGAGAAGAGGGAGACGGAGTGAGAGACGCACAGGCCACGCACCTCACTTTTGACCACCAACCTTGTAGATTTATGAGAATGAAGTCATTGGTTTATAAGAAAAAGTTAAGTTTTTTTTACAGGAGATCTTTGAGAATAAAGTTGTTTTACAATAAAATTAATTAAAAACATCCTTCATGATAACAGATCTGTTTGTATTATTCATTATCTTAATATTATTAGACTGAGTGGTGGGGGGGGGGTCCGGAACCCAGACCTGTGGTCGACACCCCCGCCTTAAACTCTCCATCAAAGGTTTACTTTGAGGATTCACCCGCTGAGCGTGTGTGAGGGTGTGGGGGGAGACATGGGGGGGTTGCTTGTCCTCTGGGGTCAAACAGAGGACAAGCCGCAGTCAAATCCATCCTACCGAGTACTTTTACTTCCTTCGTTCATTAATTTCTCTAACGTAATATTTGACTAAACTTCTGTGACGTTTGTCTATATTTTTATTTATTTTATTTTATTTTAAACAGAGACAGTCAGCTCGGGTTTTTGTTTTGTTTGTTTGTTTGTTTGTTTGGCACAGAACGTACGTGACGTCATGGGGATTTTCCCCCCGTTTATCTTTAAGACATTAATGAAGACTTTAGAGAAAAAAAACCCCTAAATGTTCAGATTATTTATTTATTTTAATACTTAAACAACATTTTGGTGACACAAACATCTACATCCATGTCCTCCTCCATCTTTGAACTTCGACGAAACCTCTTGGCGAAAACAGGCTACATTTCCAAAGTTTAAATCTTTTTAAGGTAACCTATTTTTTAAGGCGGTTCCTACCGTACCTAAGGCTGTGAGGTAGGCGTCCATGTTCTGCTGCTCCACCATGTGGTAGGTACCGGAGTAATCTGGGTGAGACATTTTTACCTCCTCGTTGTTTCACAAAGTCTCTCTGAACCTCTGCTCCTCTTCTTTCTCCTCTTCTTGCTCCTTCTCTGCTGCTCCTGGTGTGGCGAAGAAAAGCGCAGCCTTTAAATTCAGCTTCGCTTACGCAACGTTGTTGGACACCGCTGTGATTGGCTGAGGATTGTGGGTAAAATTGATGGAACGAACTTCTCTTTGTGCGAAGCTTCAGTTTAACCCGGGTGTCGAACACAAACACTCCCACACAAACCCACTCCCACTGTGTAATTGAAACTCTCTCCTTTCAGAAAAGAGTCCCCCCCGGTGGGAGGTTCAGTGTTCGTTCCTCCTTCACAGTCTGCTGCGGGAGGAGCAGCGGAGGATCCTCACCCACAACTGTGTCACTTTTCGCGGCTGCTCGACATTTTTTCACATATTCACGAGAATACAATGTTAATTAAAAAAAATAATATATAATATTTAATAACGTTGTAAGTTAAAGCGCTACGTCGAACGGATAAAATGGTAAAGTTAAGAAAAATAGATAAAAGTCGTACTTAATAAATGTCGAAAATATTACTGAGAAATGTTCATACATTTATGAGAACAAAATGGTTGTATAACCAGAAATAAAATTCTTAAATTTATTAACAGTTAACATTTATCAAAATTAAAATTAAAAATAAATTTGTATGAGAGAAATGCTAATGATGCTAAAAGTTAAGTCCTTAAAAAAACAGCCGAATACAAGGGGGAAAAATAATTTTATTTTGTACTACAATGCTTTGTTGTACAGTACAATGAAAATATTTGTATTTAAAACTACATAAATTATTGTTCTCTGACAAACAAACTGTCCTTACATAAATATATTTTCACAAACACTTTTTATTTTTTTCGCAACGAGCCGCTCGTTTTCTCCGACTTTTTCTTCAGTACATTCTTCTTCCCTTTTGACAGATTCTCATAAACATCCTCCGTGTTCCTGGAATTAAAAAAAAAAAAATTAGAAAAAAAGTCGTCAGTGAGTTCCTCATCAGTTGAACCAGACAACAGTGTCCACACGGTGCAGAGGTGAACAAACTGTCACTCAAACACCGCAAGCTCCAAGAGTTCAAAGTTCACAGACGTGGCGTTCACTGGCAGTAAGATTTATTTCATCTACACTCTATTATCATGATAAGAAACACAGTGACTTAGTTCATATATATATTGTTGTGTTCATGGTAAAACCATCTATTTTGACAAAAAAAAAAACCCAACAATTAATAATGGTGTTAATTATAGTTTAATTAATTAAGTACAAATTGCTATGAAAAAGAGCCCCCCAGGCCTGTAGGGGCGCTGTAACAACAGGCGTCTTGTATTTGTTTTTCTAGACTTTTGACTTTTTTTTGTCTATCCCTCAATTAATTAGAGAATTAAAAAATGTATTTTTATTTTTCCATTTGCTCCTGTTCCTGTGATGTCCAAGTCATGTGCCCTCGTGTTTACTTCATCTGTGTTTTCTGGTGATGTTTTTTCGGACGACTGCATGACCTCTTGACCTCCTGACCTTTGCTACTAAGAGGTCCATTGATCACCAGTTCTACTGCAGAGAAATTCACACAAACCTGATGTTGTTGTGAGCGACTCGTCTGATCTTCAGGTTCTATACCAACGTAATGTTGCTGGCGAAGAACTGCGTAAATCTACGTGTACACGTCCCAGTACTTCTGACACCCCCCCCCATCTGATACCCCCCCCCTCCCATTAAAGAGCTTGAAATTAAAAAATCACAGTAACAGACTCACTTTGAGGCCCTTCTGCTGACCGGCTGGTGTTTGAGCTTCAGGTTTCCATACTCTGTCTCCGTTTCCTGGGGGGGGGACAAACAGTTCAGTGATAGAGACAACAGCTGGATGTCATGTGACCATTTGGTGTGGTGTAATGTTTATCCAGGTTAGGGTCAAAGGTCTTTTTTCACAATCTGATCCTTGATCCACATCGATGCAGAATTCTGGCTAATTTTCAGTTTTTAATTCCTCGAAACGTACTGAAAGAATTCCACTGTGCGAGTCACAACCAATGCTTATACCGCCACCTACTGTACTAAAGTGTGTAGTGTCATGGTATGACCAGTGACTTTTTGAGAAAATGCAGCCTACTCCTTACGCCTTGATGTGCGATTCATCTTTTTTGTTTCAACTGATGTGAACCGTCACGTATGCATCGTTACATCCCTAGTTTGGTGTTAACTCTTTCCTCCCTGCAGGGGGCGACTCACCATGGAGGCGTTCTCCTTGGCGGTGGTGGTCTGGATGTACTCGGACACGGCCAGGTAGATGAACTTGTACTGGGCCTCAGTCTGGACCATCCCGGAGCGCTGCTCCCTCACCATCTGAATGTATTTTGGGATGTCAATGTCAACGTCCAGACCTGATGAAGAGAAGACGAGCAGAGAAGAGCTCGGAGTCAGAACGACAAAAGTTCAAATTCACGGGTGAGTTACCAAATATAAAAATATATATTGTTTTTTTTTTTTACCCTGAGCATCAATTGTTTTGAGAATCATGTCGATCACCATGATGGTCCCTGTCCGTCCGATTCCAGCGCTGCACAGAAGAAAATAAAATCTCAATTACGACTTTTAAAAAAACTGATTCTGTTAAATTCAAGTTCCATCTTCGTACCAACAATACATTTCTGTACGGAGGCTTTTCACACAGAGCAGTACCACTGAAAATCAGAGGGGGCAGTGTTGTGCAAAATTTAATATCAAACCAAATGTAGGTCAGACATGGGCGGAGGGGGGCGCTGACGTTTGAAAACAGTACTGCAGATAAATAGTTGATGAGGCTTCACTCACAGTCACACCACTGCAGTTTAATCAACTTCTATCTGTGGCTCGTGAGTTCAAAAGGTCATCAGTGAGTTAATTAATCAGTGGTATGTCAGAACAATACTGCTGTTTATTTAAAGTTAAAAAACAAGAAGATTTTTTTTCTTTTCTTTACCTGCAGTGCACGATGATGGGTCCAGCATCAGGACATTCAGCTTGTTTACGATTGACCTGAGTGAGGAAGCTGAGGACGCCCCCTGGCTGCTGAGGAACACCGTGGTCAGGCCAGCTCAGGTAATGGAAGTGCCAAACTTTGCGAGCCTTTTTGGGCTGCAGGAGGATGGACAGGAGAAAAAGAAGAAGACGGAGTGTAATAATGAAGATGGACTGGTGGTGGCGCTGTCTCCCGTGTTCAGACGTTACCATGTCTTTTGGAGCCACCTCCAAAACTTTGACTGTATAGTCGGTTGCTTCTCTCTCTGACTCGTTGCTCACTACGTAGCGTCCCATGTCCTTGGAGGTATTTCTGTCTGGCCAGTAGGGGACACATTTGTTCTGCAGAAGAAGAACACACACAGAACCCAAATTATTTCGTAATCTGCTGGGATTCTGTCCTGAGACACGAAGGTGTCGGACTCTGAACCGAGGGAACCGAACCTTCGAGGTCCAGAGACCTGAATCAAAATAAACAAACTGAATGAGAAACCGAAATTCATAACAAATCTACCAGGTGGCCTTTGGTACCAGGTGACAACCTGGTACATGGAAAACCAGACTTTATGACTGACTTTGAGACTCACCCGTCCTTTCTCGACCTCTCTGGTTGTCATGACGATCACTTGTGTTTTTTCCTGCCACACCATCTGCCAGAAATCGTTGACAGTTGTTGCTAAGCACCCCTGGGCGGCGATGTAGTCCTGCTGACCCCCGGCCTCCCACAGGTTGTTCTGGGGGAACGCCGTTAACCCGTTAAAAAAAACTACAACACACAGATAAAAACCCAGTGGTCCAGGTTTCATGACTTACTTTAACGTAGTTGGCGTTGATGTAGTCCGAGCCCACGGTGTTGGGGTCGGCGTCCTGCAGGATGACCCTGGTGTCGTTGACTGGACAGAGACACAGCTGTTTGATTAGGACGAGGTTCTGACAGAACTCTGGTCCAGTTCAGACCAGGACAGAGGACAGAGGACAGAGGACAGAGGACAGAGGACAGAGGACGGAGGACAGAGGAGGGAAACACTCACAGGGAAGAATGTTCTTGTATCGGTTCTTGCTCTTGTTCTCAGGTCGTTGTCCTTCCTCTCTGCTCTTCTTCACCTTCGTCTCCAACTTCTGCAGAACCTATCAGAACAGAGAGACCAAACCATGTGACCGGGCTTTTCTACAGGTTCTGACCTGGTGTCAAAGGTCATCCTGCAGAATTCTAGGATTCTGGGTTTTTAGATTTATTTTTTGTTATTTATTTGTTTGAATGACAGATTGTCTTAGCCAGTGTATTTTACCACCACCTCCACAGGGTGGTGCTATTTCACCCCTGCTTTAACTTCAATTAGATGATGGATTTTCAACAAGAGATGATGTGATGATGTTCATTAGGAAAATCTTTTTTTATTTTTCTCCATCAGACTTTGATCTTACGAAGAGGTCCACAAAAAATAAATAAAATTAAAAAAATAAAATAAAAACAACATTCTGATGATCTTACATCAAACTCCTCCCAGAATCCAGCTTTGCTCTTCACCCCCTCAGCCTCCACCTGCGTGGTCTGATTCAGTTCCCTCACCCTGCTGTCAATCTGGGCTGCGTTCACTCTGGTGCTGTAAAATGGCTGAGGGAGAGAGAGAGAGAGAGAGAGAGAGGGGGCTTTAGCACCACCTAGTGGAACAGCAAATCAAACACTGTAGACAACCACAGTTGAAAACCACAGTCAGTCTGTTCCACAGATAGACCGACGTGGAACATCGACCCGAGGCTGGTTCTACCTACTCCTCCTGGTTCTACGCCTCCTGGTTCTACTCCTCCTGGTTCTACTCCTCCCGGTTCTACTCCTCCTGGGTCTACTCCTGCAGGTTCTACTCCTCCTGGTTCTGCTCCTCCAGGTTCTACTCCTCCTGGTTCTACGCCTCCTGGTTCTACTCCTCCCGGTTCTACTCCTCCTGGTTCTACGCCTCCTGGTTCTACTCCTCCAGGTTCTTCTGACGTCATTAGTACCTGTTTGAGGTGCACCCAGGTTCCAGAGACTTCCTCGATGCCCTTCCGTTTGTAGAACTCCACCAGGTCGGTCAGTGTGTCGAACATCTCGGAGCCGCCCACTGTGTACCTGCCGTTCTGGACACACACACACACACACACAATATGACAATAAAGAAAGTTTAAATCTAAACAGGGAAGAACATCAGAACATTTCACACGTCCACAGTGATGTCACCCCATGTGGTCAAACCCGTGGTCTGGGTTCTGTACGGTGTCATGCACGGTTAGATTTACTGTTCACTCCTGATTGACAGTGAGTGTGAACCAGTCTGATGGACTGGTGAAGTGTACCGGCTGTGGCCCCGCCCCCTCTGGTGGGATTGGCTGCAGCATCACAGGGTTAATTGGCAGAATATGAACGAAGGGATTTGAAATATTAGAGTTTGATTTATTCCTCAGAGTAAATGACAAAACAAAATGCACTACTACTGCTGCTGCTGTTACTGCTGCTGTTACTGCTGTTACTGCTGCTGCTGCTGTTACTGCTGTTCCTGCTGCTGCTGCTGCTGCTGTTGCTGCTGCTGTTACTGCTGTTGCTGCTGCTGCTGCTGTTACTGCTGTTACTGCTGCTGTTACTGCTGCTGCTGTTACTGCTGCTACTGCTGCTGTTACTGCTGCTGCTGCTGTTGTTGTTGTTACTGCTGCTGCTGTTACTGCTGCTGTTACTGCTGTTACTACTGCTGTTACTGCTGCTGCTGTTACTGCTGCTACTGCTGCTGTTACTGCTGCTGCTGTTACTGCTGTTACTGCTGCTGTTACTGCTGCTGCTGCTGTTACTGCTGTTCCTGCTGCTGCTGCTGCTGCTGTTCCTGCTGTTACTGCTGCTGCTGCTGCTGCTGCTGCTGTTGCTGCTGCTGCTGCTGCTGCAGTGAAACGTCAAGAACAAATTTTCCAAAATGCTCCTGAAAACATCTGTTATTTTATGGACTAATCTCTCATTATTCATTTCCTTTGAAATTAAATGAATGTGTGTGTGTGTGTGTGTGTGTGTGAGTGTGTGAGTGTGTGAGTGTGTGTGAGTGTGTGAGTGTGTGTTCAGTGTTGAAAACCACAGCTAAAAATAACCTGCAGGTTTACACTCTATTCATTCTATACAAATGAATTCAAACCAGATCATTGTCTGTTTCTGCAGCTCTGAACCAGGAGTGTGTGTGTGTGTGTGTGTGTGTGTGTGTGTGTGTGTGTGTGTGCATTAACCCTGTGCAGGTCTGTTCTGTGAACTCTTACTGGAAGATGAAGCCAGTTGCATCATGGTATATTGACCAACGGTCGTCTGTTGAGCAACAGCGAGGAAATGAGACTTTGATTCACAACTCTGGGAAAACCCTGAGTCTGTGTCGGACCTGACCGGGGTCTGGAGGGTCTGGAGGGTCTGAAGGTTCTGACACACACACACACACACACACACACACACCTGACACTTGATCTTGATGTGAGAGACGCGTCTCCCGCCACTTTTGCTGATTCCGTCCGTCAGAGCAGAGAGGACGAAGTCTCCTGGTTCGGACAGAGACTCTCGGACCAGGAAGGTTCCGGGCTCGTCTCGTGTTCCCAGCATCTTCTCAGCGTTGGTCCCAGACAGGTGTCCATGGAACCACCTGGATCAGACACACACACACACAGACAGAGGAGTGTGACCTGCGTGTATGTGTGTGTGTGTGTGTGTGTGTGTGTACGAGGTGGCCGTGGACCAGCACCTGTCGTCCGTTCACCGTCGGATGTGGTCGATTCTCACAAAAAAAAGTGTTTAAAGTAGCAGTGTGTGTGTGTGAGAGTGTGTGTGAGAGTGTGTGTGTGTGTGTCGCTGTTTTCAATTTCTTTCTCACAGCTTCCTGTTTTGTGGTTGGAAACTTTGAAGGCAGATTTTGTGGCCGAAGCGGACGAAGTATTTTTAACTGCCCCCCCCGATCCCCCCCCCCGCCTTCGTTTTTAGTTACTACAGATAACCGCCCGTCACTGTAATAAATAAAAACTTAAATCAGTAACCTGGTTCTGGTTGTTAAGTTTATCTGACCACAGGTGGTTCAACTGAACGGACGAAACTCGAGCTTCAACCTCCGTCACAGCAGGAAAATAAATCACGCAGGAAACAATGATGGAAACAATTCTGAAATAATTAATTAATTAATTAATTAATTAACTTTAACTAAACCTGGTAAAGTTGAGTTTCAATGTGATTTTTTTGATTTCATGTGATTTTCAGAAGAGTTCATTTTTAGGGTGAAATAAAACGTCGTATTGAATCAGAGGAAACGGTTCAGACTTTGACGACAAAGATGTGAAGATAAACCTGGTCAACGCTGGGTTTGAAGTACGACATTTGTCACATGACCTTCACCAACACCTGCTTCACATTTTCACACGAACATACGACACATCAAGAAACCAGGACCAGGACCAGAACCTGGACCAGGACCAGAACCTGGACTCATCCCTTCCAGAACGTGCAGCTGTTCCCTCAGTGAAACCACGACTGTCTTCGTGTTTTTTATTTATATTTATTTCTGAGAAGTGATGAAATCCCAGTTCTGTATTTTTATCGTCTATGTATTTATTTATAGCGTCAACGTTCTGTGACTCCAACATCATCAGTATCAAACCATGGCTAAATAGATCTACATACACTGGAACATACACACGTGTACAGTATATTATAAGTGTCAGTGTGAACTGACTCAAGGCAGAAAGAAAAGTCAGGTGGAAAAATAAGGCCCAAAGTCGCCCCGAAACTCTGCCCCCGACGAGGTTCTGCACTCAGACGTCAGCACGACGTGGAGGACAAGAACAAGAACAAGAACAAGAACAAGAACAAGAACAAGAACAAGAACAAGAACAAGAACAAGAACAAGAACAAACAACATGTTTTGTGCAAGAGTCAAAGACGAGTCAGGTCTGTCATCGCTGTGAAAAGTGTCAAAACTTAAAGTTTCCAACCGCAGAAACAAAAGGGAAGTAAGACAACTGACAGTGAGAAAAACGGGAGGGGGTGAGGGGGCATGGAAACTTTAGTCTGGGTGAAGTACACAACCTCAGACACACACAAATAACACAAATAACCACTAGAAATGATCGTCCTGTGTGGCCCGCGGGCCATATGTGGCCCAGACACGGAGCGGCCCGGTCCACCGTCATTTGAGAAACTGAGAGAATCGACCGGCCCAAAATAAAAATAAAAATTCCTTCAGTAGAACGGACCCTGAACCCAACACTCTCTGTAGCCTGGCAACATAAATCCCACAATGCATCACCTGTGTGTCAGGGAGTGTTAGCAGCGCGCTAACACGTCAAAGCAGTAACGTGACGTCAAATTAGGATTGGTAATTCACTTCACTCCGAACTCTGGGCTCCAAACCCGAGAAGTGGGTCAGAGGTGATGTCAGAGGTGATGTCAGAGGTGATGTCAGAGGTGATGTCAGAGGTGATGTCAGAGGTGACGTCACAGTGTGATGCGGTGTGAGCGCTCACCTCTCTGTGGTCGGGTCGGAGCAGTTGACCGGGTACTTGAGCTCGATGACAGTACCGTCCTTGTCCTGTAGGATTCCGTTCTCGGCCGTGTAGTACTCCACCAGCTCGGACAGCGTGGCGAACTTCTCCCCGCCGTACAGGTCGTAGAAGTCTCCGGTGTTCTGTATGCGGATGTGTGTCACCATCTCCCCCACCCTGAGACAGAAAAGACGTGACGACGAGGTCAGAGTTTTTCTTTGTCAACTTGTAGCAAGTTTCAAAAGTTTTAGGCAGGTGTACACACGATCTCCTGGTTTTTTTTTTTTAAATAGAAAAACATCAGCAACGTGACAGAAAATTATTTAAATGTATTCTGTAAAAAATCTAAAAAAATAAATGAACATGGCAACCAGCATGGGCCGCGACCCAGATGTTAAAAAATGTTTTTTTAAAAACTGTTCTACTGCGGTTTGTGATTCAATGATGTTTCGTAAATTTGAATGTAAATAAATAAACAGCTGTTTATTATTTACATTTACACAGAACTGCTGCAGTGACACAGACACAGACGGACACGGACACGGACACAGACACAGACACAGAGTCTGAGACGGAACTCGAACTCATCACTGACGACAGCAGCAAATCCAAAGTTTCTTCTTCTACGTCAGTACCTGACCGACAGGGAGAAGTCGCCGACGTTCTTCTTACTGGGCCGGGCCAGGAAACTGCCATGGGTTCCTCGGTCCTGGAGGATGTTCTCAGCCTCTATTCCTGTGATGTCTCTGTGGAACCACCTGCAGACAAACAGTCAGACAAACAGTCAGACAAACAGTCAGACTTCAAACTACAGTTCATTTTGGCTTAAATCAAAAAATCAAATAAATAAAAGTTCCTCAGATAATTTTATAAGAGATTATTTATTATTATGAATTATTTATTATATTATTTATTTATTTATGTTTTGTTTAAGTAAAAGTACAGTAATATTAATATATTAAACCCAAATGTATCTGAGAATTTCGTAGTTAAAGACACGATTGTTAAAACCAGAGAAAATGCGGTTTTGAGATTTTTGTTTTATATTAAAAATATCAATATATTTGAAGCTCTAAACCCGGGGTCACGACCTTTTTGAAACTCCTTGTTTGATAGAGAACAGTGTGATAATAATCAGTTCTGGTTCAGACGACAGACGACTCTGAACTCATCTGATTCAAAAAGCACAGGAACAGTAAAGTTTCTGACCCTGTTGTTGAATAGTTTAATTTTAAGAACATACCCCGTGGGCACCTGAGGGGGGGGGGGATACCAGGTGACCCCGGGCACCACGTTGTTGACCCCTGGTCTAAATGTCGACATAAACTATTAAAAAAAATAAAAACTTTTATTTTTTTTATCGTTTCTTTTTTTTTAACCAAACAGGAAAAATGACTGATTAAAATAAAAAAAACATAAAACAATAAAGACAGAAAAATCAATGAAACACGACATGAAATGGAAACATGAAAGTCAGTCGGAAAACATGACGGACTGAAAACCAAGTCGGTCAAATTTGGTTAAAATCGACCGACGGTGAACTGTGTTAAACCTGAACACGTTGTTGAACCAGACTGTAGGTCTGTGTGTTAAAAATACCAACACATTACAGACATATATTAATATAGAGATGTTCATCTTCAGGAAAGTCAAAACCCCCGTGGGGTCAGCAGAAGTACTGCACCAGAGTCAGAACGACTGTTGAAAATCTTTGGCCTGACGGCTGAAAACTACAAGTAAACACTAATTATAGAAATTAAATTTAAAAAAATTATAATTTATTATAAAAAATATAAATTATAAAATTACTTATAATTATGTTTTTTTTAAATAATCACATAATACAAAGGATTCATGGTTTGTTTGCTTTTTTTAAACCCGTACGAAAACTACAGGTAAACACTAATTATACAAATTAAATTTAAAAAATATGATTTATTATAAAAAATATAAATTATAAAATTACTTATAATTATGTTTTTTTTAAATAATCACATAATACAAAGGATTCATGGTTTGTTTGCTTTTTTTTAAACAAGTACGAAAACTTGAACGTTTCCAACGAAATAAAAGAAAAAAGGGTTAGAGGGAAGTTTTTTAGTCCACACTACAAAGGCGACCACATGACACCAGAACACGACGTGACTGGTCAACAGCTGGGCGAAGAAAGAGAAGGAGGAATAGAAACAGAGAAGTTGTCACATCTTACAAAAAAAAAAAACAGAAACGAGGACGACAGAGTTTTGAAGGTGAAAACTCACCGAACCATGTTGTCTCTCCACTGGTCCTGGGACCAAAGAGAAGCAGAAGTCACTGGTACATAAACATGTGCAGACTCAGAAGTACAAGTACTGCAGTACTAATACTGACACCTACAAATACTTTGCCTGTGCCTGACTACTTCCTCAGTCCACGTACAACGGAGTATCTGCTGCCTCGACGCAGTACAAGTTATATTTTCATCACGTCTCACGTGAAAACTATCAACTCCAGCCTCCCATTAGCCCTCTCTCCCCCCTCCCTCTCTCCCCCTCGTCCCTCCCCCCTTGTCTCTGCCCTCGTCTCTCACCCGTCCCTATCCCCAGAACAAAGTAGAACACTTACTGTGATCAGTCACCTCGGAAAACTAGAGACCCCCCAGTCAGTCTGTCACACTGTGTAGGTCTGTGCGGCCCCGCCCCTCGGACTCTCTCTCTCTCTCTCTCTCTCTCTTCTCCCCTTCCTTCCTTTTTACATCTCCTTTCACAAAATAGTGAAAGTGGGAGGAACCAGAACAGATCAGTCCCTCTGCTCCAACAGGTCGTGACGAGAAAATAACCTTTAAAAAAATGTAATTAAATACATTTTAAAAACGGATTACAGTTACAGTTACAGTTACAGTTACAATACGAACTGCAGTGGGAAAAAAAAAGACAGAAAACACAGAGCGTTTGTTTTTTCAGCTAACGGCGTTCCACTCACCTGTCTGTCTGACAGTGGTGTGAGTTTATTTTGCAGCTAACACTGTGTGTGTGTGTGTGTGTGTGTGTGTGTGTGTGTGCATAAAGGTCAGAATTGCACATCACTTCCTTATTTGCAGTCCAACCTCCATGTCTGTGTGGTACTTTTTTTAACTGTGAATGTTATCACAACACTGAGGCGCACACACACACACACGCACACACACACACACGCCGTGGCTGCACCACAAACACACACAATCTCACCGACCATTTAACTTGCAAATGAAACGATGGCTCGCAGGACGTGTTTCGGCACGGCCGTGGACCGTGGGACACTGTCCACGGCCGTGGACCGTGGGACACTGTCCTTCCTTCAGTTCCATCACGATCAGACGCCGTTTGATTGAACACAGGCGTCAGGCTGTGTTCAATCAAACAGGAAACAACAACGTCAGGGCCCAAACGCATCGGAACAGATCAGATCAGATCAGATTACAGAGCCACACAACTCAGATGACGTGAGACACACACACACGCAGTGTACATGTGTGTGTGTGGTTTGGTCCACACCAGGCAGTAAAGGAGGGGGACAAAGACACGGACACGGTACGGAGCCTCAGGTTGGACAACAGAGTATTTGAAGGAGTCAAAGCTGCACAGGATGTGGGCCGCGCCCCATCATTTAGTTCACGGGATGTTTTCAAATGACAACAGCATCATGACGATGAAGATGATGATGATGATGATGATGAATCATTACCAAACCACCAGCCTGTGTTTGACGCAGATTGTCCTCTGACCAGTGGACAGTGTTGGACATCATCGATGACGAAAGTGTCCTCACCAAAACCAAAGTGACTTCAGCAGAAACGCGTCGTCAGTTCTACACTTTTGAACTTTTGAACCGTAATAACCTGAGGTGTTGAACCAGCCACCAGGAGGCGACACTTCAACACAACACAACGATTGTCAGGCAGGGACCAGCGGCTGTACCAGGTGAACTGAAGTCAAATACAGACACACAGCTGTTACTGATATGTTCATGTAAATACGGAGGTCAGAGGAAGGAAGTAAAACACAGAGTGACACACTGTGGGCCAGGGTGGCCAACCAGTCAGCAGGCTGAGAGTCACATGACATGACATGGACACACATGAACCACCCTATCCCTTGAAAAAAAATAAAAAAACTTTTAAAACTTCCGGTTTACATCTTTCCATCATTGAAGTCATTTGCATCAAATGTCATCGACATGGTGTAAAAAAAACCCCACCAACAGAAAATTCCACATGAACGTAAGAACCGCATGAAACTGGGCAAAGAGCCACATGTGGGTCCTGAGCCACAGGTTGGACAAAGTGAACGCACCAACAACATTTAAGATTGTAAAAAAAAAAACAGTTTTGTTTGTTTTAAAGAAGAATAAAAACTCACCGATAAGACATGGTTCTGCTTCTCTGGTCTGGATCCTCGGTGCTGGTACCGACTGTGACGCCTCCGGTAAACTCAGAGTCAGGTTTCCTCCTCCTGCTCCTCCTCCTCCTCCTGCTGCTCCTCCTGTCATGATGATAAGACATCATTACCAGCACAGTCGTTCCTCCCACCCTGTAATTAACTGTAATCGTCCTAATTACCCAACGATCTCGGGGATAAAATCGGTCGGTTCCTCTCACCTTCAGTCTCTTCTTCTTCAGACGTTACAGAGTTTAAATTCACTCCTGAAAAAACAAAACTTTTACACATGAAACTACATGTAGATAATGCCCCCCCCCGTACCCCCCTCCCTCACAGCAGTGGTTCACAAACAGCTTACCTCTAACCCTCCCCCATTCTCCCCCCTCACCCTCATGTTTACAGATTCAGTCACATGACCACAGAACTTCACTAAACACAATTTAATTTACATTGGGACCACCGCCCCCCCCCCACTTTGACCAGACCTGTGCACATTGAACAGTAGCCTCAAAAAATGACATTTGTCTTTAATAAGATATTATGGAGTACTTATGGAGTACTTATAGAGTAGTAGTTAATAAAACACATTTCATACCTGTATCTGTTCAACATCAGACGTCAGTCTTCTTCTTCTCTGTATCTGGGGCCCCCTGGTGGACAACGGTTAGCCTTACAGTGGTTTGATCAGTGGCGGTACCTTCATGTTCTACCTGGTGTGCACTTCACGTTCCTTCCACCAGGTGCAGGAAGAGGTCACTGTTCATGAAACCCTGTGAACCGTCCAGGGTGTAATACCTGTCCTCGCCCGATGATGGCGTAGTTTGGTCAAATAGATTCATCAGAAGACATGAATAAATGACCAACCTTTGATACTGTGGAGGTTTTTTAATCATAGTCTATAAAAACAACAGCGATGATAAAAACAAGGAGCTGGTTATTGTTATAACAATGTTATTATCATTCAGGTCAGTGGTGGGAAATTAAATTAACATGGCCGTCACTCCTGGTACCATACCATGTACCCGAACACGGTGGAGAGTTCTGGTCTCCACTGCTCCCTGGACAAATACAGAAACATCTACAGGAAAGAAACATCTACCAGGAGGAACATGGACCAGGAGGAACATGTACCAGGAGGAACATGTACCAGGAGGAACATGGACCTGGAGAGGTTTGTCTCCTTGTAGATGATCTGTGGACCAGGGAAGAATGTTTTTTTTTGTTTTTTTTTTGGTCAGGATGTGAGCACAAAGAGCTGACGGTGAACTGAGACATTTGATCAGAGAAGAAGAAGAAGAAGAAGAAGAGGTGAGACAGAGGGTGAGGAGGGTGAGGACAGTAACAGTCTCTCTCTCTCAGTGTGGGCTGGTTTCTAAACACACGTAGACCAACCAATCAGCTCTCTTCTCACACACACACACTCACACACACAGAGGACGACGCTGGAAAAGAAAATCACCCAAATTTCACAACTTTTTTTTACAGATGAAATGATCACAAATAAAATCCTTTGTCGTCTTCCAAAAAGTACTACAGAGGATCAATATGTTCCAAAAGTGCTGCGTTCACTCCAGTCGGATCTCGTCAGCTCGAGAATACGCGATATTACAGACCGCCGCGACGACCCGTGAGTGAAGCCGCAGCTCGCACACGACGCGACGACCGCCGTCCTTAGAAGGAAGGAGACGAGTCTGAGTCTGAGGAAGAACCTGCGGCGGTTTCACATCCTTGACTCCAGTCTTTTTTAAAACCAAGTCCAACAGCACAGCTGATGTTTGCCTGAGTCCAGAGATGGAGGAGGATGAGGAGGAGGAGGAGGGAGGGAGGTACAGGAGGAGGAAGAGGAGGAGGAGGAGGAGGAGGGAGGGAGGTACAGGAGGAGGAGGAAGAGGAGGAGGAAGAGGAGGAGGAGGAGGAGGAGGGTGCAGTGTGAGGGGGACTAACCTGACTGTGCTGTACAAGGTTTGAGGAGGGGGAGGAGTCTGCTACATGGGGTCAGAGCAGGTGACCTCAGTCAGCGAGCGATCTGATTGGTCAGCGAGGCACCTGCATTTGCTGTGAGGTATGTGACTGGTTCTGAGACGTCATGTCTGGTCCCCTGCTGGCCAATCGGCTCAGGATGTTCCTCTCAGACATTTGAAGCCGCACGGCCACGGGGGGTATCCGGGCGATGGTGGCAGGGAGGCGGGTGACGTCAGCCTTCATGTCGCTCAACAGCTCCTCCAGCTGTTTGAGAACTGAAAATACAGAACGTTGGTGTAAAAAAAAAAAGAAGAAACTTACCAGGTTATTTCCTGCAAAATGTCTTTTAATTTAATTTTTTAACTGTTTTTTTCTTATTAGGGAAGGAAATACTTATTATAATATTATATTATAATATGAAATTACTGAAAATATGGGACATTTAAAATTTTTATACACCTCAAAAACAAAAGCAATAGGGCAACAAATCTGCAAGCGAATGCATCAAATGGAGGTTCAGAATCGTCCAATCAGGAGAGGGGGTGTGGCTGCAGCTGATGACTCACCCTTGTGCAGCACGGCGTTGGCTGGTTTGTTACCAGACATGGATTCCTTGCTGAGGTGCTGATGGGACTCGGCCAAACACTCGACCTCGCTGAAGCGCGTGTTCAGGGCCATGGAGGGGTGGGCGGGGTCTTCTGTCATGTTCAGATACGCCGCCCTGCGTAACTGCTCCTCGATCACCAAGGCCTGCTCCAGCAGCTGCAGGGCAGAAAGGGCAAACGGCTGGTGAGGTGGACGGTACTTAAAAATAAAAAAAGATACGGTTCTCGCACCACTGAGCGTCCGCTCACCTTGAACCTGCGGGCCAGAAACTTGTTCTTGATCTCCAGGAAGTTCCCTCTGCTCATCTCACCTTTGAAAGGCTCGTTGAGGATTGCGTACCTGACGTCGTTCTGCACGTCCTGCCACCGGGCGTAGCCGTGTCTGACAAACTGAGGTCAAGGGTTCAACGACGCATGACAATAGATTGATATCTGTTCCATCTGAACATCAGTTCCTAACTCTGGAACAGAGGGATCTACATTTGGAATCACTAGAGAAGAAAGAAAAGAACAAGAACATGAACCAACACCAGGAATATTGGAGAAAATCAAGAACTGATCAATGACTGAGGAGATTGATACGGGATCAGCCCTCATCTACAGTAGAACTAACAAAGACTCTAAACTCTCTCCTCATTGGTTCAAGTGTAAACGTTACAGAGTGAACGGCGGTTACAGTCGTGACATGAAAGGATACTGTATGATTCCAGCCAACAGCCAGTAGTCATGACGACGGTGCCAAATCTCAAAGGTCTTCTTGGTGACCGTGGCCGCTCGCTCCTCGTTCTGCCACAGAGAGTGGAGTTCTGAAACAAAGAGGAGACAGAGTTTAACAAAAGTGGGGTGTGTGTGAGTGTGTGTGTGTGAGTGAGTGTGTGTGTCCATCCACCTGTGAATCCTCCGTCAGCGATGTTGAACATGAACCTCTGCTTCGTGGCCTTCTTCTTCTCCTCACTGACGTTGACGGCGGCTGCTGCTCCGTCTCTGGCGTTCTCTCCATTCTGTAGTTTCCCAGAATCCTCTGTTTTCACAACGTCCTTCTCTTCTTTGACCTCTGTGACGTGAAAACCAAACAAAACATGAACCACTTGCACTTTTTTCCATCCTTTTTCTGGGTTTGTGACTTATATAATTTCATGTTTGTTTTTTCACACTGACAGCCGCTAGAGGGCACTCTAAGCTTGTGTACCAGTATCTGCTACTGCAGTATGTCACACTTTTTTTCATCATTTTTTCATTATGTGACTTATAGTCCAGAAACTTCAGTATATAAAAAGCCATATATTATATGTTACTTTTGCTGTTCTGCGTTGACCTCTGGCCCTGACCTTTGATCTCCTGTGTAGGCGACGTGTCCATCTTCTCATCTTTGCTCTCGTCATCTTAAATAAAAACATGAGTCAGAATCTCAGTCAGACCAACTGAAGCTGCGGCGAAGTCTCCCGTGAACTCACCTTTGGACTTGGTATCGTCTGAACTGTTGGCTTTAGCAGCGGAGGCGTCGTTCTCCCTCGTGTCTGACTTCTGCTCCTCGTCTTCTTTCTCCTCAGCCTCCTTCTCCCTGCCCTCACCCCCGTCTCCCGTCTCCTTCTCCACCTTCCCTGCCGCAGAGTCCGACTCTCCGTCCTTCTTGATGGACGCGGGGGATTTTTCTGACTCGTCCGGGATTTCAATGATCTGAGAGAAGAGTAACGGTGATCAATCAGATCAAGACGATCAGGAACAACGTGATCGATCAACAACAAATTCAATTTGAATTTACCTCTGGATCATCCGACTTCTTGGTCCCTTTCCCGTCCTCGGCCTCCTTCTTTATGTCGTCTTTGTCGTCTGATTTAGAAAAGTCCTCTGTGGAATGACAGGAGAAATGTCCTTGTTTGGATAAAAAAAAAAATAGTGGTGTCAAACATACGGCCCGTGGGCCATAACAGACTCGAAAATAAAATAATAGACAAACAGTTCATGTTCAGGAAATGTTTTGTTAAATAATATTTCACTAAAAATGAAAATTTATCTAATGTACTTTTTTGCAAATGATCCGGTTAAAAGACAACAAAAAAATTTAATCTAATGTACTTTTTTGCAAATGATCCAGTTAAAAGACAACAAAAAAAATCCATAATATTTTACATTTTAAAGGAACATGAACTGTGGTAGTAGTGGTGTGGGCACTCGTACCTGGGACAGGAGTGTTGGGCTGCGTGTCTGCAGGAGTGCCACTAGAGGGAGTCTTGGGGTCTTCACCTGCAGCCAGCGCTGCAGCTCTTTTGTTCTCCTCCAGTTCAGCCATCCAGGGCATGGACCACTGACCGTTCACGTGCTCAAACTCCTGCACCTGTGACCATCACACCGTCCGTCAGTCATTCATCAACTTCAGCGACAAATAATAATATTTTAATTAGCCACCGCCGTGGCCTCTAATTAACACGACTGAGAAACTTTTATCTGAAAACATCCAACAAAAAAACAAAAAAAAGACTTGTTGTGGGGCCGTACACCCCCACAGAACTGTAGCGCAGTACCATGTTGCACCATGTGTGGGTGTGGTTTGCAATTTCTGAACGCATCTTTATTTTTTATTTGTAGGGATGTAACGACGCATCGTGAATCGTAACAATCCATCATATTTTTTATTTAATTATAATTATTATTCATTTTGTTTAAAAAAGTGATTCAATCGTATCATGAGTTCAGTGTTTCGTTACGTCCCTTATTTATTGTGTGTTTTTTTGTTATTGTACCTTTTTCCTGATGAGAGACATGACTCCGATGCGTGTGAGGACGTGTTGTCTGGACAGACCCTCGCGTGGAACGCCATCTGCAAAAGTCTCCGCTCCATCGGCCCCCGGCTCACAAAGGTGACGCATGAAGAGGGACACGTAGGCCCTGAGGACAGATTTGAGGGACAGAGTGAAGACGTTCACTGAGGAGCACAAACAGAACGAACCAGGAAGAAAACGTTCGCCCTTCACTCACTTGAACTCCTTCTCAGACTTCCCTCTGAGGTCACGCACCAGCCACTGGTTGGTGAAGGCATCCTGAGGAGGCATCCCATAACGCATCACTGCATTCAGGAAGGCCTTCCTCTGACGAGCGTTGAAGCCCAACACCTGAGAATCAGTGAGATAATTAACAGGGACTGAAATACTGTGATTCTTTTTTTCACAACATTGTATCAATATTCTACAGAACTGTATGGATGTTTTTGTATTAATAATTATTAGTATTTTATAAAATGTTATTAATTTTATATAATTTAACAATAGAATATTGATGGACAAACACATTTATAAAAATTTACATTTTATCAATTTCCTAGTTTGAATATTTCCACTTAACATGATCCTTATATTTTTTAATAAAAAAAATTAAAATATTTTATTACATTTAGCAGAGGCTTTTATCCAGAAAAAGATAAGAATTCCGGAGAAAACTCACTTCAATGTTTCCGCCGACACGTGCCAACAGGGGGGGCAGTGGTTTGTCCCGGTCGTTCCTCAGACCTTTGCGGCTCGGTCGTCTGGAGTTGGCTGTAAGGACAACACATCCGTCAGTACGTCTGAAGCTCAGAGTTCATTTGACGACCTGTTTCTTTCCTGCTGTGTGTTGCTCTACCTCCACCTCCCCAGGTCTGGCTGACTCTCTCCTCTCCTCACACCTCAACTCACCTCTGCCTCACCCTCTTCTTCACTCCCTCAAAACAGTAACGCCTGACAGCAGCGCGGTGGTACAGTGTACTCCATTTAATAAAAAGTTAATGAACAGAAGAACTCATAGAGAAATTCAATCAGCCCCGAACAGAAGAATCACCGTCGCCAGCCTGTCCCTCCATCAGGGGGCGCTACAGCGGTGGTCTGTGTTTAAAGAGGAAACTGCAGCAAAAAATGAACAAATTCTCTGTGAATTACTGAGGGTCAACCGTCCTGAATGTGGAACATTTAAACGCCTCATTCAGTAACAGTGTGTGTGAGGGGAGCGTTAACGTTCTGAAAGTTCTCCGTTCTGTCCCTGAGTTCTCCTGGTTCTCCTCTGTTTTTCCCTGTTCTTTCTGCTCCTCTCCTCCTTGCCTCTCTACGCTCAGTGCAGACGATGCAGCTACAGCTTCTGCTTCCTGTGTCCATGTTGTCGATCAGGACATCGTAGCTGTCGTCTGAATCTGAATACACATCTGCAGGGGAGGGTTGGAAGTGTCGTTAGCCAATCAGAGGGCAGATGGGCGTGTCACCCAGGGTGTCTGTATCACCTGCCCTACTCTGAGGCAGCGCAGTGACCCGTTTACACGGCGATGATTAGCCTCCAGATCCCAGAGCTACGGCGCCAAGTCGGCCTTGGGTTTAGACCAGGGCTGTCAAACATACGGGTCGCAGGCCAAACTTGGCCTTTCAGGGATTTCAGTTCGGCCCAGTTGATAAAAAAAATACAGAAATATTTATATATTTAATATTATATATATAATATATAATGCTCATATGTTTTGTAAAATATTTCATTAAATATGATTATTGTCTAAATATACTTGTACATTCTTTGCATGAAAACAAAAGTTCATGAACTTGAAATTGTTATTTATAGGTACATGGGATTTGAACCAAAATGAGTTGGTCACCCCTGGTTTAGACGTGATGACGATGGTGAGTGTCCTCACCACGTGAACGGAGCAGAATGTTTCCGGTGTTAGTAAGTTAGAGTGTAATACAGCGCCACATACAGGCCTAGAATATGAACTACATATTTGTTTGCGTCTAGTCCCTGTAAACGCTCAGTATCCGGAGGCTTCTGTAGTCGTACTGTGTCGTACTGTGTCGTATCGTCGCCGTGTAAACAGGGTCTGAAACACTGACCATGAACAGCCGTGGACTCCAAGTCGACCGTTACCTTCAGAGCGTTCATCGAAGTCCTCGTCGCCCTCCTCTGAGGCCACAGAGTAATCAGACTGGTTGTCTGACTGGTCCTCCTGCCAGTCTGGACCAGGGACAGAGACAACAGGACATTAATCCAATCATCGTTTTGGATTTAAAACCACACCTTCATGACCAGTAATGTCTTCAGACGCAACCCTGTAACCAGGTTCTAGTCAGAGGGTTGCTGGTTCAAATATCAGCCCAACGACAGATTCACACTCTGGACTCAATTTTAAAATGATTTCTCTATACTCTGGACTCAATTTTAAAATGATTTCTTCTAATTATTAAGTCTTCTTAAACAGTTAGACATTTACCAGTTGTTACCTGTTTTTAGATGAAACACACATTCACTTGTGGATATATTCTAGCGGACCATGCACTGACCATGAAACGCCACAGGGAGCAGACGGCGACAGCAGCACAGCACAGCTAACATGCTCACACCAAGAGGTTGCAGAGGTTTTATGTGGTTCTGTACCCTGTCTTATACCTCGGTCCTCCTGGGAACCGTCGTTGTAGTTGACCGGTTTACGGGTTCTTTTGCCTTTGCCCAGGTTCCGGGCCAGATCCTCCTGCTGCTGCTCGTAGTGGTGTCGCAGCAACTTCTCCCAGTAATCGGGGTCCACGCTTTCCTCCTGCTTGATCACCTCCCTCTCCACCTCCTCCTCCTCAGTAGAAAAGGAGAACAGGTGTTCATATATACAGTATAAAAATATATATATATATATGTATACACATTCTGACTGCATACATCTACATATATTTGGTACATATATACATTTTATTATATGAATATATTAAAATCCATCCATCCATTTTCATCTGCAATATTTTTGAAAACATTTTTGAAAACAAATTTTTTCAAAAACATTTTTTTTAAAACAAATTTCTTGAAAGAAATTTAAGAAAAAAAAATTTTTTTGAAAAAAAATTTTTTTTGTAGAGAACTTCAATTTATAAACTTGAATATATTCATAAATATGTTTGATAGATTTTACCAGTTGTAAAATTATTGTTGCTTCAAATTTAATGCAGATTTTTTAAAGTCAGTCAGTGCCAAACAATAACAAGAACTGATTTCTAACTCTGCTGAAACAATCGTCTGATTACTAAAACCTCAACGAGGACCTGAAGTGATGAGCGACTCGTACCTCGTCATCCTCGTCTTTGACCACGTACTGCGCCACCTTGAAGGAGCTGAGGTACTCGTTCATGCTCTGCAGCTCCGTGTCGTCCGTGGCGTCCTGGTTTCGGTCCAGCAGACGTTCGATGGCCTTGTCGTCGTAGTGGATCACGCTGCTGTCGTCCTCCTTGTTGTCTCCTGGAAGAAGACGGAGCGAAAGACGTGAGATCAGAATCAGAGCTGTGCTGAGACTCCTGGGCTTCTGTACGAGTCCAAAAGTCAAAACTCCCTACTACGGCTTCTGTACGAGTCCAAAAGTCAAAAAGTCCCAAGACAGAAGAATTTTTTATTTTTTGTCTTGGAACTTTTGACTCCCAGGTAGGATAAGAGCAGCACACCTTCTCCGAGTTCATCCTTGAACAGTTCCTCGGTTCCAAACTTGAGGATATCATCAAGCTCCTGTTTGGACATGGAGCCCGTCTTAGAGCCCAGACCGGGCCGCACCACCAGGTGGGTCAGCATCATCTTCTTTTTGGCCACCTGGTGGAGAAAAACAGATGAGCGTGTTGTGATTTCACCCTGACACTCGCCGCCGCCGCCTCCTCTGGCCAGGAGTCAGTCACACACCTGAGTGATCCTCTCCTCCACGGAGGCCTTGGTGACGAAGCGGTAGATCATCACCTTCCTGTTCTGGCCGATACGGTGAGCTCTGCTGAACGCCTGCAGCACAGAAGAATCAGAAGTGTTTTTTTTATCTGTGGTCCAGAAGAGATTAAAAGAAAAAAGAAAAAAGAGAGTTGGCCGTCAGGACCGTCTCACCTGGATGTCGTTGTGAGGATTCCAGTCGGAGTCGTAGATGATGACAGTGTCAGCGGACGCCAGGTTGATGCCCAAACCTCCGGCCCTGGTGGAGAGGAGGAAGGCAAACTGGGGGGCACCGGGGGCTGTCAGGACGGACACGAGAAAAAATTAGATAAAGATGTATTTATAACACAGAAACACAGAGTTTATACATCTGGCTTTAGACGATAGACGGTGATTACACAATAATGATTACACAGTGCATTTATACACAATATTTCTACAAGTCTGAAAATAATTGTCTGTTTTGGGGGGTATGAAAATCATGGATTGTTTTTTTTTCTCTAAAAAAGATCGACTGAATTCGACTGAATTCCTAACTGAATATTCCTGTTCTCAGCCTCACCGTTGAAGCGGTCGATGGCCTCCTGCCTCATGTTCCCGGTGACGCCGCCGTCGATCCTCTCATATTTGTAACCTTCATTCTCCAAAAAGTCTTCCAGCAGATCCAGCATCTTGGTCATCTGAGAGAAGACCAGCACCCTGTGCCCCCCCTCCTTCAGATTCCTCATCATCTTCTGCAGCAGCAGCAGTTTTCCCGAGGACTTGGTCAGAGCCGTACCCTCATACATTCCATTTGGAAGTTTTGGAGCCTCCTGGAGAACGAGAAGTAAATGATGAAGTTGGTGAGGACAGATTGTGACCATCTTCATCCTCATCCTCCTCCTCCGTCCCTAAAGGTCTATAAAGAAATGGTACCATGGCGGCAGCAGGAAAGAGGTAGGGATGGTTGCAGCACTTCTTCAGGTCCATCACCACGTTGAGCAGAGAGACTTGGTTTCCTCCACCACGAGTGTTCAGGGCTTCAAAGTTGCGTGTCAGGATGAACTTGTAGTATTTTCTGAGGTTTAACATAAAAAAAAGGAAAGAGGAAGAATAATTATCTCCTCCTGGAGATCAATAATGTATTTATGATTCTGGTTCGGATTATTTCCCCTTTGTGCAAAACTGAAATAAAACATCAGTAAAATCTAAAAAACTAATTCAACTTCACTGTCACCCACTTCTGCATGGGGCTCAGCTCCACCCTGACGATCAGCTCCGTCTTGGAGGGCATGTGTTTGAAGACGTCAGCCTTCAGCCTCCTCAGCATGTGTGGTCCCAGCATGTCGTGGAGCTTCTTGATCTGGTCCTCCTTGGCGATGTCTGCAAACTCCTCCAGGAAGCCTTCCAGGTTACTGAAGAGAGAGAGAGAGAGAGAGAGAGAGAGAGAGAGGTTAGCAGAGCTGGGCCGCGGTGACCACCAGAACACAGCGGTCCACATGGACCAACACTGACTTGAATCTCTCCGGGGTCAGGACGTTCAGCAGCTGGAAGAGCTCCTCCAGGTTGTTCTGCAGAGGCGTGCCGGTCAGCAGCAGCTTGTGCTGCAGCGGGTAGTTGTTCAACACGCGGAAGAACTGGTGAGAAGCAAAGGAAGAGACCATGAAGACAACGACGAAGACGACGAGTCAAAACAACTGGACCAGGTCAAAAACGTCAGGACACGGAGATGGTTCCGTACCTTGGACTGGTTGTTCTTCAGTCTGTGAGCTTCATCCACCACCAAACAGGCCCATTCGATGGAGCCCAGAACCGCCTGGTCGATGGTTATCAGTTCGTAGGAGGTCAGCAGAACGTGGAACTTGACCGGTGAGTCTTTCTGTGGAGCAGGAAGGAAAACAGAATCAATGATTGTTCAGACTCTGGAGTCGCCTGCCTCCTGTGTTTCTTTCTTTTAAAGGGTGACAGACACCAAACCTCGCCCACGTTTTCTCATTTTGAGACATTTCATGTCAATATGAAACTTGCCTTTAAAAACCAAACAGAGAGGAGCAGGATGTGGTTTGTCTTCACCTCCACAGGAACAAACTGATAACGAAGATGACTCTACTACTACTACTTTGAATACCTAGTAGTACTACTCAACCGGTCCTGCCACCATACTCCTTTTCTCACTTCCTGTCCTCACCTTCATCTTGGAGGCCTTTTTTCCACCTCTGATGGCATTTCCTTCGAAGGAGAACTCGTTCTCTCTGATGACAGCTCTGCTGTCCTTGTCACCGATGTACGTCACCACGTACATGTCGGGCGCCCACAGCTCGAACTCTCTCTCCCAGTTAATGATGGTGGACAGGGGGGCACTGACCAGGAAGGGGCCTTTGGAGTGACCCTGCACCAGAGGGAGACACGAGGACGACGACCTGAGTTAAAGCTCACGTGAAGAGTCAGAGTCCGGATGATTCCATCATTTTGGTTTGCGATACGATTTTCAAATCCACTGATCCTTTAATTTTTGGGCACATACTGCCACCTACTGTTCAAGAGTGTGCAGTGTCATTGTATGACCAATGATTTTTTGAGATAACGTAGCCTACTTCCTTACACCTTAATTTCTTTTTTTATTTCGACCCATGCAAATTATCACGCATTTGTTTTGATTTTTAACTGATTTACGATGTTTACATCCCTAAATATATTATATTATATTAACATAATTAACCAATATTGTGTTACCCACCTCCTTGTACAGTGAATAGAGGAAGACGGCCGTCTGTACCGTCTTTCCTAAACCCATCTCGTCGGCCAGGATGGTGTCCGTGGCCTGAGCCCAGGAAAACCTCAGCCAGTTCAAGCCCTCCAGCTGGTAAGGATGCAGCGTTCCTCCTGTGCTGTCCAGGTAGTCGGGCTGCCGGTCAAACTTGATGGTGGGCTGAAGGAGACGACAGGTGAGGTGTGGGGATCTAAATGTATAACACAGCGCTTTCCCTGGTGTTAAACCCACGACAGTCACGACTTATTATCAGCAACAACACATTAGTCGAGTAGACAAGAAATTTAAGGTGGAACCAAACTTTGTCAGTCGGTCTAAGGACTTACGTCGACCACAGGATTGGCCGGCGGCCGCTCTGCCTTCTTGACTTTGACAGTTTTCTTCAGCTTCTTGCCCGGTCTGCCCTCTTCACCCACCATCAGCTCTCTGCATGTAGAGACACGTCAGTTTAGATGGTAGAAAAAAAAACCAATCACTTTGATGATGAGTGACGAGCCTCTCACCTGTGATTCCAGTAGGTTTGTTTGTAGGTGTCGAACTCAGGAATGTCCATGTCCTCACTCTCCCAGGTCGACTGGTCGTAAGGAAGATCTCTCCACTTCACCAGGTAATGAACATTGTTCTTCTTATCAACACTGACACCAAGACAGACGAGGACAACAGACAAGGACAACAGATGAGATATTAGGGCTGTGTATCATCAGGACTTATCAACACTGACACCAAGACAGACGAGGACAACAGACAAGGACAACAGAAGAGGACAACAGACGAGATATTAGGGCTGTGTATCGTCAGGGATCTGGCATTACGATACAGGGGCAACAATACGATATTTTGCAATATATTGATCCCCCCCCAAGACTCTGCTGTTGCATCTGAACATCAGGTTACTAACATTGGAAGAACATGAACCAACACCAGGAATATTGGACTGAGAATTGGTGAGAAAAAATCAATAACTGATCAATGACTGAGGAGATTGATACGGGATCAGGAGAGGACAGATCAGGAGAGGACAGATCAGGAGAGGACAGATCAGGAGAGGACAGATCAGGAGAGGACAGATCAGGAGAGGACAGATCAGGAGAGGACAGATCAGGAGAGGACAGATCAGGAGAGGACAGATCAGGAGAGGACAGATCAGGAGAGGACAGATCAGGAGAGGACAGATCAGGAGAGGACAGATCAGGAGAGGACAGATCAGGAGAGGACAGATCAGGAGAGGACAGATCAGGAGAGGACAGATCAGGAGAGGACAGATCAGGAGAGGACAGATCAGGAGAGGACAGATCAGGAGAGGACAGATCAGGAGATATTCTTACAGCCCTAATTATTGTCTTTTTCTAATTGAATTTTCTGTCTTGTTCTACGTCTGTTGTCCAACCTGTGGTTGAGGACCCGGTGAATCATCAGCCACTCCAATTTGACTCCATAACGGCAGAAATCCTCCTCCATGTGGACAAAGAGGGGGTCTTTGTTCTTCCTCTTGGTGCTCTTGTCATTATCACCCTCAACCCCAAAGTCCACGGGCGGGGGTTCGTCCATGTCCGTCTTTCTCTGGAAGTTTCTGAACATCACCTGACAGTTTAGCTCCAGCTGTGAGAGAAGACAGAAAGAGCTGAAGAAAAGTGCTCCTCTGACATCAGACTGAGAAGGTCCGACCCCTGAGGTCATGTGACCGGTCGTACCTGCAGCTCCAGAACCCATGAGCAGTGCCAGTAAGACATGTTGCACCATTTAACGAAGAACTCCCTCTCCCTGCGTCCCACCAGCGGGGGAGGATCAGGAGCCTCAGCGGGAAGGTCAGTGGGCCGCGGCACAGGTGTGGGTGGAGGCGGTTCTCCCCAGCGCCACGTCAGAACCTTCTGGACTTTTCCTTTCATCTGTGGACACTGGAACAAGACAATAACAGAAGAGGCTTGTAATAGTTGATGGAAATGAATCAAGTTGTTGTTGTTACTGTAGGACGCTGATTGTTGTAGCTAACGTTAGCTCTGTTGTCTGTACCGTGACTGTTGTAGCTAACGTTAGCTCTGGTGTATGTACCAGGACTGTTGTAGCTAACGTTAGCTCTGGTGTATGTACCAGGACTGTTGTAGCTAACGTTAGCTCTGTTGTCTGTACCGTGACTGTTGTAGCTAACGTTAGCTCTGGGGTCTGTACCAGGACTGTTGTAGCTAACGTTAGCTCTGGTATCGTCCTCACAGCAACATGTTTTACACTGAGGTGATACTGTGTACTTGTAGTACCACAGTACTGCAGTACTACTGCAGTACTGTGGTACTGCAGTACTGCAGTGATGAGGGTCAGGTTCAGGTGTGTCAACTGGTGGGTCTCACCTTACAACGGGGGCAGATCCATTCTCCATTGGGAATTTCCGGGAGAGGAGGGTTCAGGCAGTGGATGTGATAGGACGAGGGGCAGGTGTCGCAGCAGAGGAGCTCCCCCCCGTCCTTACACACCCGGCAGTACTCGATGTGGTGGTCATCCTCCTCCTCCACTCCTTCTTCCCTCCTGTCCTCCTCGTCCTCCACCTCAACATCCGACAGGTCGTCTTTGGCCTCCCACTGGATCCCTTCTTTCTCCTGGTAGCAGGATTACAGGAGTGGGGGGGGGTGAGGCGGGTGAGGGGGGGTG